GGGTTTAGGCCTGTACCTGAGCAATATTCAAGGCATAACACATGCTACTTTTGACAGGGGACAAGAGCTGACTGGGTATGACAGTCATTTGAAAGAGGGGAGCTGATCTCACACCATATAAGCCTTCATATAGTGGACTGGATACAAGGTGGGCATTGTCCTCATCCTGCTCAAAAACCCCTTACGACACATTAACTACATCACAGTTACATAAATGGAATACCTTCGAAAGTGTTTAATATCTCTAGAAAGACGGAATAGCAGATAGCGTGTGTTCCAGAACCTCTTGAAGACAGTCTCTAGAGACAAACTTTTGCTCTGACCTTGCATTGGAGGAAGACATACTGGTACTGCCAAATCAATAGCCTTTTTGCTTGGGCTTCATTTTCACCCATGACCAGAGCTAATCTGACCTCAGTTTACAGGTCTTTTGACCTGCCAAATTGAACTGCTTTTAATTTTTATTATATTTTTTCCTAGACAGCCCTCAAAAGCATTGGATTAGTACTTTACTGATGAAAATGTAGAAGCAAGGAGATAATTTGGTTTGATCTGGTCACAGACCGAGTTATAGCTGGAGGCTATACAAAAATACTCTCAAGAAATCCAGCAGCTTCTAACTGGTAATAACTTGAAATTCTATATGAAAACAACTCCCAGGCAACCCAAGATTTCCCTCAAACACTCGATTTACAGTTTAAAAAGAATCTTCCTTGTGCATGTTCATTTCTGCATATTAAACCCCAAATATTTTAATAAACAACCACTAGTAAGAAAGTCCAAAGAAACAATCAATATCTGGAATGATTTCTGGAAAATTAGTTTTGCAGTCATACATTTAGTACTAGAAGGAAGTTTGCTCCATCAGGATGCAAATTATCAAAGCTCTAGTATATGTCCAGCTTCAAGCTGGAAACTCAGAACTCTTAGGCTTGACAAAGGGACAGTCCTCAGGCAGAGTTCAGATGTGTTAAGGGGATGATGCTGTTGCTGCAATGAAAAAGAGCAGGATGACCCCTCAGAACTATGGGTACCACGTACTGACTCAGTAGCAGGAACCAAAATGCACTTTGGACACTCCTCTCTTTAGAGCCAGCAACAGACAAGTTCATGTTCAGTTCAGTGCCCAAAGGCAACAGTCGGGCTGAAATCCCAGGTTCCCTCCTCCTACACAATGCTCCTTGCTGTTGCTTACACTGCAATCTCCTTCAGGCTTCCAGCTTGTATAGACATCACAGGCTCTGCCTAGTACTGCTGATCACAACAGTGATATCTAATTCAAACAATGAGAGCTTTTTTTTCCCCCTTAATTTGTGTGCATTACCTTTGATCCTTAAATAACAGAAAAACAGCAAAACAAAATGAGGCTTTCATCTGAATTACTCGGGATAATACAGCAAGCTTTTCTAGGTTGTCAGATACAGTTGTAATTAGGTGCTTTTAGAAGTATATTATCTATTTTTATCTGTTATTTACTATATTTATTGTGCTGATCACGTTATGCCCAATAGACTACTGCAGATTTCACGGTATGTTATTGTCTGGGTGCTGTTCCTACACCCGTGTTTGAGACTCGGATTCTGACATTTATTTGTCTTCTTAGCGTGAATCTTTTTGTCTGGTAGATATGTAGGGCTCCTGAAGAGATGTAACACCACGTCATGCTAATCCTCCTTAGTTCATGGATTACTGACCTAATGCACAATGACAGCCCTTTCAGAGCCATCCTCGCGCTGCGGTAATCTGCAGTCACACACACACGACCTCTGCACACCAAACCCACCGTGCCTTTCCCCTTCAAGAACCCCCAAGGACAAGCTGTGCCCATGCAAAAGTACCCTCAGACTGCACCCGCTGCTGAGACAGCTGGAAAAACCCTCATCGGCTACAGAGGGATGCATTTCACTCTGGGGGAGCAATACCCTTTGCATCAAGGCTCTTAGAAACCCATGAGGTTTTCAGAAGAGATTCAGGCTGGCTGTTAGCTCTGCCCAAAAGCAGAGGCTTGCTCCTCTCTGGGCCGTAGAGTTCTTCTCAAGTGTTAGCCCCCAAGAGCTGAAAGGCAGAGCCACAAGTTCACTCCCTGGATCCAGTTTCCCATCTGTCCTGCTCACTCACCTGTGCCCATGTAGAAAAGAAATAGCAGAACAAGGCATTAATTCTCTCTTCCTTTCCCAAACACCCAGAAAATGAACAAGTCAAAGCAGTAAATACCTTGCAGTGGGGATGCAAACACACCAGAGCTTCCTGGTAGATACTGAGAAGCAGCTTCATAACTTCTTCAATTAATCAGCCTTTACCCTCCAGATCAGCCCTGTGTCCTCAGCTCCTCGGCCACACAAAAGGGCCAAAACTCAGCTCTTGTAATTCATTGCCTGAGCACCCTGCAGTGTATTTAGGCTTGAGATGCTCAGGTGTGATTAATTCATTCTAATTTCTCAGTGGAGGCATAGAGGAAAGGAAACCTTTCCCAGCATTTTAGCTAGTATTTCCCTTCTTCCAAGATGCTTAGAAGATGAAAAAGAAAAGCCTCTCATTCAGCTTTCCTGTATGTCTAATTTAGGGCTGGTAACAAGAAGTTCTACAGGTCTAGAAAGCTGTAGCACAGAGCTCGCAAGGGGAAGCACCAAAGTTCAGGAAAGTAAGAAAACTGGAGACCCTACAGAGCTGGTTCCAACATGGCAAAAATGGGTGACCTTTAGTTAATTATTCTATAGAAACACTACTAATTCTGCTTTTTGAAATTCAGAATCAAGTTCATAACAGTAAGTTTATATCCCCAACAGCACCAGGCAGCCTTCTGCAGAGACCTTCAGCTTGAATCAGCCTGCCAGGAGCTCCTGACCTACAACCCAGCTTAACCCAGCTTTTAAAATACAAAGACCTTTGCTGTATCAGCTCCTCTCTGAGCTAAGAGACTACCAAGTGCTGCTCTCCAAAAGAAAACCACGTTTGTAGACACAGAGCCCGCAGCTGATCTGACCCCAGAAGCAGAAAGCAGAACTGCCCCAGGAAGGTGATTTTATAGACCTTGTCTGCTGCCCTGACACAATCTCATTGTGAGAAAAAGCTGCACCTGCAGGAAAATCACAGCCAGGCAGTGAGGATAAGGCAGGCATAGTATCACTCCTTTCACCTTTTTTACAATCGTATCATTTGGATTTTTTTGAAAATGGGGAGGGAGAACTGCAGTGCAAGTGCTGCATTACAGAGAATGTCCTTGCTACCACAGCTAAGTCTTGGAAAGTAGGGGGAAAAAGAAAAAGTCATGGGGTAACATAGAAATTTTCGAAGCTCATGGACAATTGTATAAACTGAGATGTTCTGTTGTCTTTTTATATCGTGTATGTAAGAGTCGTGGGAATTTGGAATGGGCAGTAAAAGAGTAAAATGTATGTTTCTAGTGAGAATATATCAGCCTAAGAAGTGAATGAGACTATATAAAAGCTCTTTCTCTTATTCATAATTTCAATATGCTGAAATGCCCACATTTTAGTTTTCTGGCTATAATCTTTTAAAGTACATGTTTACCTACCCCTGAGAAGAAAGACATAAATTGAAACAAAAGACAGCTTTGAATTACAGTTGTGATGAATATTGTCATAATCAATTCTCAACCAACAGAGTGATGAGGGATTCCTTCTGCACCAGACCCTGTTTTCACAAGTCAAATACAGCCATTTGTTCAATTTATAGCTTGCTTTTAGGCTGAAAGTCTCCGCACATATTACATGAACTCAGATGAACGTGATTTGAAACTTGGTTAAGAATGTGATGTTTCTAGGTAATTTAGGCTGAGATTTTCTGCACCGTACAAGAGCTCTGGCTACACAAGTCAGAGGCTCTGATGTATCTATATCCTCTGGGCAGCGTGTCAAGCCATAATCTTTGAGAGGTGTTCCTCTACAGCGTGTTTCTACAGCTGTAATTGCATGGGGAACGGATGCTGAAATGATAGTCAAAACAAGGCTTTCATAGGAAAGATTAGCAATTTTCAACACCACAGTCCTTATCGGTACTGCAATGTATATTCATCACCAACTCCCCACTTTTAACTTGATTGGAAGACAATTTAAACCACTACTTCTGGAATAGTGAGCTGGTGTGCACAGCTGTGCTCAGAACAAGGTTTCCCCTGAAAAATGAAACCATTTAGACACGATGGCTACACATTTTTGCCATATCTTTATTGCACTTTTACCACGTTGCAAACAATTCCACAAAAATGCTGCAAAAGTAAGCCTAGAGCTGCCGAAAGCAGCTTTTTACCCATGTATGTATATATTTACACAAAACTATCAAAAGCAAAGTTGAAAAGTAGCAGCTCAGCTATGATAGTCTAGAAAGATAAGAACTGCCACCTCCTTATGGACAAATAGTACAACTTGTCATTTTACATCACTTTGTAAAACCAACATTCAAGTATTCCTGTCAAAGCACAATTAGTGAAATTCCCTTCCAGTAACCACTGTAATTATTATTATTATTATAATAATTATTTTTTTTGCCTTTAGAAGTTCATAATGCCTTAACCCTTTAAATGCTGAGTAGCTGGGGGGAAAAAAAGCATTCAATTTAAATAAGATACAGTGGATTAACGCACTTAAAGGGTTAACACAAAATACTAAGTGGACTGTCACCACAAATAAAGTGTGAGTCACAAAACTATGTTGTCCCTCTTAGTTAAATTTGGTAGGTAGGTCTGGGGTTTCATAGATATACCATATATAAATACAAAATATTAAGTAAAGGCCTCCTTTCTATACAAAAAGGACAGGAGGTGTTTTGCTATCAGACTGTTGTCTGTCAGTGATCTGAGTATTTTCTGAATCTTTCCATAATCTCTCTTTAGGAACTAATGAAAAGCATCACATTAGACTTATTTTTCTTAATGAACTAATCCTTTGCAGAGTCTACACTTTACCTACTTTGGGAACAATTATATCTCATTTCTGAATTCACTGAATTCACAAAGTGGCATACACAGTCTTTTGCAAGACTTTTATTTTTTTCTTTTTCCTCTTTGAATCTTCTTTACTTGGCTGGTAAAAACGTAGTCTTGCGATTTCACTACCTCTCGGTCGTAACGGTGTTAACATCAGCGTTAAAGTCATTTTCAACCACATTGTCATAACCATCCTTTTCTATACAGTCACTAACAGCCTTGAGGACAATTCGCAGCCGCCTGTCCATCGCCTCCAAGTGAGGCTGGTAGAGAATGGGAGCTATTTTATCTTTTAGTAAAGATTCCTTCATCAAGAGACTGAGTTTGTATTCCTCCTTGGCTAACAACTGTAATCGCAGATAGGTAGACTTCCTTATTCTGATGGAAAAATGAGACAAACAAAAACGCAAATCAGTATTTTCATCACTATTGTTCTTGACAGGGCTAAAGGGCTTATAGTCACAATATTAGTGTAAAAACATTATTATGTGATATGAAATGATGGGAACCAGGCACTGTCCCAGTCCTAATGAGCACTGTAACCCAGAGAGAGATCTTTGGGAGCCCTTAGAGGTGGAGAGGTTTGGCAGACAGCCTTCACGCTCCTCAGCTGGGTAAGGCACCAGCGGGACCTGGAGCAGCATTCACAGGGTCTCAAAGCCACGCTCCTGATGCCAACAAAGCACCTAACATCTTCATGCCAACACTCAGGGCTAGCTCGGATCTGGCTCCCTGGGCAGGATCGTAACATCTTCTCCTCTCCATGGTATGCAATGTTAAGATTCACTTGAACATTTCAGTCCTGTTAGTGGAAACAAATGTATAAAATGGGAAACACTCCAGAGGTGAAACATACCTGCAGCACTGGTTTAAAGGCACCAATATGGAAAGTTCGTCATGGGAGTATTTTCCAAACCTGTTTAAACATAAGAGCAAGAACATGACAAAATATGTTTTAAAGACTAACTTTGCAATTTTCTGGTTTTTTTTCACCAGAAAGATTACTGAATTTATTTACCCTCTTCCATTATCTAAGTGGATAATAAATGTTTCATTTCCAAACTTCTCAAAGGTTTCATAGTGATGTCGATCCATGTTACCTACGGAATAAAGAGAAAAAAAAAGACCGTTCTCACTCTGTCTTGTTGCTGAGCCTGCAGGTCAGGGCAGTACAACAGCTACGGTTCAGCGAGAAGCCCAGCGCTCCCCAAACACAACGGCTGCGCAGCGCAGAGGAAACAACGGATCTACTGAGCTCATCTGCTTCTGCTGTGGAAACCCTGAAGTGTGCGATACTGAAAGATGGGCTGTTACGCCTTTGGGAGCTTTTTCAAGCTCTCTGTAACTTTTACACTTAAGCTCTGGAGGAGACAAAGCCAACCTTCCCACTCTCCAGCAACCCCTTCTGGGGTGCGCCAAGGAAATTCCTCTGAAGTCCAACAGCACCTCAGCTGTTTGGGGAGCCTGGTCACCCATGAAGTAGTCACAACCCTGAGCTCACAGAGCTTCATCGGCACAAGCAAGCCCTGCTGCTCTGGCCCTGGGTCAGTACAATGGGCAGAGCAGCCATGGCACCCGCGCCAGGCACAAGGCTTAGCTTAAGGAAGGGAAAATGCAGCCCTCAAGCAGGACTACTTATCCAGATGACTTTGCTAATATTGCATTAAACTTTGCATTAAACTTTCTGAACCAGGATCAAACATCCTGTTTTCCTCTAATAAGAACTTTGTCCAAATTTTCGGCTGCTTAGAAAGCCAAAACAATATTATGGCTCTAAGATACAGACCAGGATGCTACAGCAGTGGCACAGCTGAAGAGCTTTGTTTGGGCACTCATGGCAGCCAGATGCATAATCTGCTTTTTAACGACAACGTGCAGAGTACTGGTGCCAAACTACGAATTTTGTCTTCATGGTGGTGGTCTTGTGCCACTTTTGGATGCCACATATGGCTCCTGAGCTGTGATTTGGCCTCTCCTGCCGAAGC